TCTATTGGCCTCCCCCCTTTCCTTTCTCACCATAGAGAGAACTCTATCCTTGTGTAATGTGGTATTGTATATTTCTTCCCTAATGCTCTTTTGAACAAAATCATCTATTTCATCAACAGTATATCAGCAGTGACCAAAGACCATTAAATAATGCATCTCACTCAGGAGCGATGGAGCAAGGAAAGGGCTCTGACCTGTTTTAAACCTTATTACTTTCTTGCATTATGTCCCCCGCTGCAATCTTTTTGTTTAAGTGATTCGAGCTCAGGCATTGCTTCCTGCTTCTTAAAAGATGGCAGGCTGGCTCTTTTGGAGAGCCCCGGCGTTGGGATTAGCTGCCTTTGGACCCAGATGTAGCCCTGAGTGAATTAATCTTGGTTCTGCCTCACCAAAAATATATGTCTAAATGTTGTGCATGAGAGAGAGAGGGAGAGAGAGAGGGAGAGAGAGAGAGAGAGAGAGAGAGAGAATAAAAGAAAGAGAGAGGGCGATCAAGAAAAGAAAGCTTTCCTAATTTTTCTCGTTCCGTGAATTAAAATAGTTAGGGAATGGTTGAGAGCTATTATTATTATTATTATTATTATTAAAGAAGCTATCTCCCCCCTGCCCATGGGTCCAAATAATAAGGACACTTCCATGTGACAGTTTATTTGGGAACGTTAGAAGACAAGAAGAACCCTCTTTTAACACCATTCTGAAACAGAAAGTTTTGCTGGGGAGAAAACAGCAGAATGTTTGGCAATGTTTCTTTGTGACTTTCCTGGAATCATGTTGGGAACAAGGTGCCATGCATCAAGGGAATAGCCTTAGATCAGACTCACATATTTGTCCATCTGGTCTAGTATTTTCTACTGTGGCCAGTCAGTGAACATAAGGACATAAGAAGAGCCCTGCTGGACTGGGCCAATGGCCCAACCAGTCCAGCATCTTCTTCTCATAGTGGCCAACCACATGTCTGCAGGAAACCCTCCAGCAGGGCCCAAGCACAAGAGGCCTCTCCCCTCCTGTGGTTTCCAGCAACTGGAATTCAGAAGCATTGCCGCCTTCAACACTGGACTCCATGCCAGTGAAGGCTGGTTCATTAGGGCAAATCATGACCCACCAACCTCACTCTGCCCTCAGCCAGCTCCTACCTGCCTTCTTACTTTCAACCCATCAGTGGAAGGCTCTGCCTGCCATTATCTCCGGTCCCGACTGTTAGTGACTCCCTGCCTCCTGCCCTACTAGCTGCTCAGTGCTCCTCATGCATTATTGTTATTATTCTGTACCAGCCCTGTGGCATCATCCTCATGAGAATGCTGCTCCAGGTTCCCAACACATTTGGTCTGAATTTATAAGCTACACTTTAGAAAGAAATTTATTGGATTTCCTGCAGAAATGGTAAAGGTAAAGGACCCCTGACAGTTAAGTCCAGTCATGGACGACTCTACGGTTGCGGCGCTCATCTCGCATTACTGGCCGCAGACAGTTTTTCCGGGTCATGTGGCCAGCATAACTAAGCCGCTTCTGGCGAAACCAGAGCAGTGCACGGAAACGCCGTTTAGCTTCCTGCCTGAGTGGTACCTATTTATCTGCTTGCACTTGACGTGCTTTCAAAGTGCTAGGTTGGCAGGAGCAGGGACCGAGCAACGGGAGCTCACCCCGTCACGGGGATTCAAGCCACCGACCTTCTGATCGGCAAGCCCTAGGCTCTGCAGTTTAGACCACAGCGCCACCTGCGTAAAGCTGGATTAAATGGGGAAATCATATGGAACGGTATTTTCATGAGGATGGCATTGTGCGGATGCTCTGTCTCTGTTGTGTTTCCATGGAATGAAGCATTTTTAAAATGTGAGTCTTACTCCTGCAGTGGTACAGTCCCAGAACTGTACCCCCTCACCACTCCATTGCACATGTAGACTGATGGTTCTCCAGGGCTATTGTCAACCACAGCATAGTGTTGGTGGGCGGAGTCCCGCTGGATGTATTGTTCCGGTGGCTCACCACATGGGGGCACCGCAATGCAGAGATCCCTGAGATCCAGGCTCAACCTGGAAATTTCTAGAACGTTCCAGAAATGCAGCTGAGACTGTCATTGGTGTGCTCTGATTGGCTCAGTAGTTAGAGCTAGTATAAAACTTCTCAGAATCCCCACCCCACGATAAGCTTTTTCAGACACCCACTTCAGAGGAATATTCTCTATAAAAGCCCCACTGATTTTATCACCTGAACGGTATGTCAAACATAAATGTGAAGCCAGTTTTAATATTATCTATTTTAAAAGATTTGTAAACTTCTTATAAGTAACAAAAACAGCAAAGTGCTGTACAAAAAACTAGACATTTAAGATATAATGTATAATCAATTTTAAAAATACAGTGGTGCCTCGCAAGACGAAATTAATTCGTTCCATGAGTTTTGTCGTCTTGCGATTTTTTTCGTCTTGCGAAGCACGGTGTCGGGAAAGTTTTGGAAAAGCTTCAAAAATCACCAAAGTCTTTAAAAACCTCAAAAAAAGGCTACCACACCGCGTTCTATGAGTTGCTCCTCGAAGTCAAGTCGCAAATGTATTAACGGTGTTAAGAAAAAGGAAACAAACTTGCAAGACGTTTCCGTCTTGCGAAGCAAGCCCATAGTGAAAATCGTCTTGCGAAGCAGCTCAAAAAACCCTTTCGTCTAGCGAGTTTTTTGTCTTGCGAGGCATTCGTCTTGCGAGGTACCACTGTACTATACATGCAACTCCCAATTTACACAGGGTTCAAGTGAAATTGCATATAATTGAAACACCATTGAAAAAGCCTGCAAACACCCTGTTCCACCCCTTTTTGGTGACATTTTTGGATCACTTCTGGGTTTGGTGCGATGCACATGTGCTCAGTTGCACACTTATTGGATGTGTCTAAAACAGTCACTGTCTGTATAGCAAATTCACACATTCACAGTGACAAGCAGTGTAATTGACCACCAACAACAAAATTAATCTGGGATTGCGTGGGTGAACAAAAAAGTTTTTTGCATGCTCCAAAAAAACAGAATCAGGGAAAATATTTTAATATTGTTGAAGGAACTCCTCCTGTCTTATCCTCTGGCTTCCTTCATCTACAGATATGAACCTGCAAGAGAGTTTCATTCAATATTAACAGCTGAATTTTTTTTCAGAGGTGGAAGACTTTCCCCTTCCATCTCCAGCTGGTTAGATAATCCCACCTCCTTGAAAATATTTGCTAAATAGTCTGTAGAGTTTCTCTGCCCCTAAATAAGAAAGAGAATTCATGGAGGTCACCTGGCTAAGCTCTATAATTGGGTTGGGAACCTGTTGAATGTGGCTAGGTTTTTTCTCCAAGTCACCCTTCCTCCCAAGCCATACCCCTCACCAGCTCTGCTTTGCATCATAGAATCATAGAATCATAGAGTTGGAAGAGACCACAAGGGCCATCGAGTCCAACCCCCTGCCAAGCAGGAACACCATCAGAGCACTCCTGACATATGGTTGTCAAGCCTCTGCTTAAAGACCTCCAAAGAAGGAGACTCCACCACACTCCTTGGCAGCAAATTCCACTGTCGAACAGCTCTTACTGTCAGGAAGTTCTTCCTAATGTTTAGGTGGAATCTTCTTTCTTGTAGTTTGGATCCATTGCTCCGTGTCCGCTTCTCTGGAGCAGCAGAAAACAACCTTTCTCCCTCCTCTATGTGACATCCTTTTATATATTTGAACATGGCTATCATATCACCCCTTAACCTCGTCTTCTCCAGGCTAAACATGCCCAGCTCTCTTAGCCGTTCCTCATCTTCCATAAATGATTTGGCCTGGCTGGGATGTGTCCTCAAATTCTGATAATGCCTCTTGCTTGCCTGCATCGAAGGATAAAGGTAAAGGGACCCCTGAGCATTAGGTCCAGTCGTGGCCGACTCTGGGGTTGTGGCGCTCATCTCACTTTACTGGCCAAGGGAGCCGGTGTACAGCTTCCGGGTCATGTGGCCAGCATGACTAAGCCGCTTCTGGCAAACCAGAGCAGCGCATGGAAACGCCGTTTACCTTCCCGACGGAGTGGTACCTATTTACCTACTTGCACTTTGATGTGCTTTCGAACTGCTAGGTTGGCAGGAGCTGGGACTGAGCAACGGGAGCTCAGCCCGTCGCGGGGATTTGAACCGCTTACCTTCTGATCGGCAAGCCCAAGGCTCTGTGGTTTAACCCACAGCGCCACCCACGTCTCATTGAAGGATAGAGGGGGTGTAAGTGAGTGTTTGTAGGACCCAGCCAGCTGTGCAAAGGGAAAAGTTATATTCATTGTTCCATTCACCTTTGCCTCTGGCCCTGCCCACCACTGGGATGTGGCCCTTAGAAGGCTGCCCTGAAGGGCATGTGGCCCTGAGGCTGAAAATGGTTCAGCAGCCTTGCTCCATACCCACTGTGTGAATATATGCAATGGTGAAGGGACAGGGAGGGACTTGTTCAACTCCAAGGAACAGCCAATCACCGAACACCATTCCAGAAGTCTAGCTGATATGCTTTAAGTCCCCCCTGACATTCAGTCTACCTCTCTCCCCACTGCCGCTGGCTCAAGCCTGTGGGGAGAAGCTTCCAATTACATCTTCTTACTAGTCTAATGAGGTGAGAGACAGGAGGGGGAGGGAGAGAAAGAGTGCCCCCCTGGCTAATTTTCCAGCCAGCAACCTCCACATTGCCTTTGTGCTACGGGAGGGACAAATCCTTCTTCTCGATTAGCAGCGATGGCTTCCAGGCATTTCACAAAGATTTCTGTAGGATCCAAGTGGGAGGGAGACATCACTTAGCAGCAGAGCCATGGCACAATGTTTCACATTAATTTTTAAACAAATCTTCTCCATGAAAGCAAGAGCCCTGGCAAGGAAATGTCTTTGCAACCTACATGTGACTGTGAGGCAGATATGTGTACAAAAACCAAGGAGTTTCCCTGCTGGAAGGCTGAATCTAGGGGTGAGAGGAAACTTCACAGCTGAAAAATATACATAAGTGCATCCTGTTTCCGCATGAGGAAGGCCCATAGCTCAGTGGTAGAATATCTGCCTTGCATGCAGAAGGTTCCGGGTTCAGCTCTCAGCATCTCTAGGTAGGACTGGGGGAGACAACTGCCTGAAAACCCTGGATAGTCACTGCCAGTCAGTGTAGACAATACTGTAGATCAATGGGCTAAGGCAGGTTCCTATGTTTCTGTCACCTGTTGCAGTGGGTGTCCTCAGAGGCTATCCTCTCAGCCCCAGGAAGTATAAACTTCTTTACCAAAATGCTAACCCACAAGGTCAGGGTTTCAGGTGCACCAGAGTCCAAGGAAACCAACATGAAGCATGATGAATCAGTCTAGGCCCAAAATGTGACCCAGAGGCAACATCAGGCAACAGTCCAAGGTCAATAGCACATGGAGTTCAGGCAAAGTACAGTGGTACCTTGGGTTACGTACGCTTCAGGTTACTCTGGCGGAGCGGCGGCAGCAGGAGGCCCCATTAGCTAAAGTGGTGCTTCAGGTTAAGAACGGACCTCCGGAACGAATTAAGTTCTTAACCCGAGGTACCACTGTACACCAGAATAAGACTTGGTAACAAGTAATGAGAGACCTGCATTGTCTCTAGTCAATGGAAGGATGAAGAGAAAGACCTTATATTCTGGCCTCCTAGATCACATATTAACCACAGCTGATTGACAGTGAATGAGTTTCAAGGGTTGCTTACTCACAAAATACTGTTTTATTACAAAATATCTATTCAAAACGTATTTTGTTCCAAATACTTTGTCCCAGGCTGCCTTAAATATCATATCTCCCTATACAAACCTGCCTGGTGTTAAGATCATTGTGTGAAACACCTTCTTTTGGTCCCATTAACATCAGAAGCATAGTTGGTGGTGGCACCACAGAGAGTTTTTTCTGTGGCTGCCCCCAGATTGTGGGATTCCCTCCCAGGAGAGGTCAGACTGGCTCCCTCCTTGTTATCCTCCCAGACACAGGCTAAGACCTTCCTGTGCAGAAAGGCCCTTGAAGGCAAGGGTGCAAATGATGCTGACCACTGGACTGCTGTCAGGGCAAACTGGATTTCAGTTGCTGGTTCTAAGCAAGTTCTGATTTATTTTGAATTATGGTTTTTAACTAATCTGTTGTTCTGACTTTGCATTTTATAATAGATGTTTTCAGATGTTGTGGGCCACCTTGAACCCCAGTTTGGGAGAAAAATGAGATATAAATACATTTAATAATAGCAATACCAGTTTCCATTTTTTTATAGTATGAAAATTCATCAGGATTTAAGTGCCATTTCCCCAATGAGTACATTTTAGATGCAATTTTGACCAATGTACACATTTTTGCAAGCATTTCCCCCCAATATAACATATGTTTTGAATGTTATTTTCACTAATATTTCATTTTTATGCACATTTCCCCCCAATATACACATATTTTATAAACATTGCTGAGCTGGAGAACAGCTCTGCAAATTCCAAAGAATGGCTGCATTTCAGTTTGCAGATTGTTCTGAAAAATGTGGATTTGATAGATTTGGCTTTCAGCTGGCAGTGATCCAAATCTCTCCAATCCTGCTCTGAGTAGAAGTTAGCTGGATTCAATCCTATATTTTCAAATCCGGTTTGGGCCGGTCCGGGTTGCGACGTTCGCTCTGCTTGTTGCTTTGTCTTGTTTGTGTACGTGGTCCGTGGATCGCTTCCCCTATCCCACCCCAAGATGTTGATTTTCCGCCTTTAGCAACCATGTCAGCCTATGCTTGGTTCATGCAAAAGAGCGGGACATCTGTCAGCTTTCAAATGAGAATTTTTTGTCGGCTGAAGCCCTGGGAAAATTGACAAGTAGCAAGGAGGGAAACACTAAATCGATAGCAGAGGATTTCCCCCGGGGAAGTGGAGGAAAGTTGGAATGTTTTCTCATCAAAATCTTTTAAAGAAGCCAGGAGATGGGGGGAAAGAGGGGAGGGTTTTTAGAGACCTCGCCCTGCTTAATCTGTTTACGCCGGTATTGTTTGGGGCTCGGGGTTGAAAAACAAAACGGGAAGTGCTCTGCCCAGCGCGCGCTCTCCCCTCTCCGGCGCTGATGTATTGGCGCTTTCTTAGTTACTGTGGCTCCGTGGTAAATTCATTTGGAGTCCTCCAGGGTTTTAAATCTCTCATTTGGCCAACAACGAGGTCTGAAAAGATTGCAGTTCATTTCGACCTGAAGTGGATGGAAGGCTCATTTACTCGCTGCAGGCAACTCAATCAGGCTGCCCGGCAATGAGTGAGTGACTTGTTCAGACCGCTAGTCAATATGTGTCTGCCGTGATAGAATGTCAGCATCTGTTGGCTGCTCCTGTCTCCCTGAGCTCGGCCTTTTTTTCAGTCGGCCTGATCAATGTTATTAAAAACACCTAGGAGTTGCTTAACTGCTCTGCTATTTGAAGGTTTCTTGCTTGCTTGATGTTGAAATCTCCGTTTCTCTCCGTGTGCCTCAGCTTAGTTTCTCCTTTTCTTTTCCCTGATGAACGAGTTCCTTCCTTCCTTCCTTCCTTCCTTCCTTCCTTCCTTCCTTCCTTCCTTCTTGCTGCTGAGACTTCCTGTCTCCCTCCAGCCTCACTCCCATATTTCCCCATTTTTTCTCCCAGGTGGTGAGTTTTGCCTTCCTTCCTTTTCCTGCTGAGACTTTCTTCCCATCTGCCCCCCACCCCTATTCCCAGGTTTCTCCTTTTCTTTCTTCCCATAGGCCATAAGCTTCCTTAGCAGACTTCAGGCATTCAAATTGAACATGTGAGGGTAAACATGTGTAGGGGGCTATTTCCTCCTCCCCCAATCTGCCATGTCAAGGCAGCAATGAAGGCTAGTGGTTTCAGCACCAGGGAGAGCAGTGAACAACCTTGCTCCAAAGAGAAAGACTAAAGGTGAACTAAGGACTTTGGAAGCTCATCGTTTCTCCTACCCACCCTTCCCAACTTCCATTTCTCTGGCCTAAAGGTCGTGGTGATTCAAAGACCAGTCTGTTGACCTGAAGACAAGCATATCTTTGAGTAGCCTGGTGAACTTCCTTCACGTGTTATAATGTAGTAAACACTTGAGTGGGACTCAGGAGACAGCACCTATATGAGTCCCAGTTCAAGCAATACAGGCTTTGGACACTGCACTACGAGCACCAGGAACCTGGTGTAAGTCTCAAGCTGGTTCTACAGCAGTTCCAGACTTGGCCAGCTTCTTCTCTTCTTCTGACGTGCTTGCACACCCCCTGTTTATCACAGGAGTGGAGAACCTTTTTCAGTCCAAAAGCCACATTCTCATCTGGGACAACTGGCCAAGGGTTACATGCCAGTGGTGGGTGGGGCCAGAGGCAAAAGTGGGTGCAGCAATGCATGTAAATTTCTACCTTTGTTCAGTAGCATCATTTCTATACACAGCCATCTCTGTCTTCCATCTAGGGAAGCATGAGGCATGAGTTCAAAGACATAATCTGGCCATGCAGAAGTATTTGGGTGCAAACAGAGGATCACTGACAAGTGTGCCCTGTAGGGTGTGTGTGTGTGTGTGTGTGTGTGTGTGTGTAACCTGTGGTGATTTCCAAGGGACAGGTAGGGAGACTGGGAGGGAACATTTGGTCCTTGAAGTTGAGAACCTCAATCGGGACCTGAGTCCAACTGTGCTCTTCCCACCTGTGATTCCCAGCAGCTGGTTCACCTTTATATAAGAATGAAATCGAATCTTCCCCCCTATTCCTGCTTTCTGGATAAAGGCACCTCCTTCTTCATGTGTCCCATAGCTCTTGAATATTTCAGGGTCGAGGCCCCATTTCATTTTAGCATAAAGACATAAGAATAGTCCTGCTGGATCAGACCAATGGCCCGTCTAGTCCAGTGCCTTGTTCTCACAGAAGCCAACAAGAGGTCTGTGGGAAGTCCATAAGCAGGACCCAATGGCAACAGCACTCTTTCCACTTGCAATTGCCAGCAACCACTATTCAGAATCAGTGGTGCCTTTGACAATGGAGGTGGAACATAGCCATTGGTAGTTTTATCCTGCATAGACTTGTCTAATTCTCTTATAAAATATTGTATATTTTTGAACAATTCTTTTGATATTTCCATTTGATTTTCTTAGACTCACCCTTGCTGAGTTTTTATTAGGGCCAGTGCAGGGAACAGGATGTTGGATTAGGCAGACTTTTGGTCTGATCCAATGAGGCTCTTCTTACGGGAATGAGAACCCCCAAGTTAAGATGTGGAACACTGAGGTGCCTGTACAGTATTTATCGCATTGCCTCGTAGCCAAGACTTTAAAAAGCATGAGAGGGTATTTTACTGGATGCATCCCATGATATGGTGTAAGCATTTTATTTTTTTAAGGAAGGGAAGATTTCTAATAAAAAAAAGATTGGAAATCTAAATCTAATATAAGCAATTGTGCGAACTTTTCTTACTTTTTATTAGATGTTACTTTTTGTGATCATTTTTTTTTTAATTGTAAGTTTTCCAAATTGTTTCTAATGTTGTATTTTAAGTTGTTGTAACTTTCCCTGAGACCTTAGGGTGAAGGGAGGATAATAGATTAAAATACTACTATCAGTACTACTTTATTATTGGCACAGAATCTGGGTGTCCTTGATGGAGAAATTTCCTACTCCAAACAAAGGATAATGGGTGATTGTGCCATGTCTCCTCTTGTAAAATCTCTGCTGCATATCATCTTTACTTTGATGGTCCTCGTAGCTAAGTGCTGTGTTTTACCTCTGTGCCAATAAAACATGATTTAGAAATTCTTTCAACTGCAGTTTTATTTAAGGGACCACATAATGCTCAGAAATACTCTACATTGGCATAAGCTGTGAGGAGGTTACCTTTTTTTTGCTGCTTGTGAATGCCCCCAATTCAGCAAAGGGTGACCTGTGGTTAGAGAGGCATCTCTGCATAGACAAAGGTCTGCAGTGCATGGTCAGGAGAGACCAGCAGGGGATGCTGTGTGCAAAACCCAGCTGAAGGGAAGGATCATGCTGCAGCGGTGCAACTAGGGACCATTGGTCACAGATAAAGCATCTGTTTTGCATGCAGAAGGTTATCAAAGCAAATTATTGCCACCTCCAGTTGAAAAAAAGGAGGTGCTGCTTCTTGGCCTGAGAGGTGCTGCTTCTGAAAGGTTGTTTCTGGTCAGAGTTGCCAGTACTGGGGTAAATCAATAATGTTATGGCTTGAAAGTAGGCAGATTCTTGTGTTGCTGGGGAAAAACAGGGCACTGCCCCACCAGCTTCAGTCTTGATTCTTCCAAGCCCATCTGCCTGCCTTCCTGCTTATAGCCAGTCCAGGGGTTGGCAATGCATGCCAGTTTCTGGCTCATGAGTCTCAGTGTTGCCCTCTTAGAACTCAGGAAGGAGGAGATGGGGGACAAAGCAAGAATGAATGGGCTCTGCCTGTCTTTGGCTCTGGTGCCACCTACTGTTGGTCTCCCTGCCTGCCTTCCATCCCATCAGCTGCATTGGACACCAGTCACCATTCCATATTCCCAACTGCCATTGTATGGCAGCAGGTCCAGCTTTGGAGCATGTGGAGCAAGGCTGGATGTTTCAATACTCTCTGACTAAATAAACTCTTCCTGCTTGTAGAAACAAGCATATCAGGCTGAAGGCTGGACTGACGTGCTCATTTTCTATGCCCAAGGATGAGGCTTTATTGTGGACTGGGAAGCATCCAGGTCAATCAATAGCATTTATTGTGAGCAGATTCATGCCATTCTTGTTTCTTGGAAAAAAACGAGCTCCCCTTTTGACACTTCCTAAGATGTTCAGTATGGGTGTGTGGGTGTTTAAATCCTTCATGACTACAGCAGACTACACCATTAGACAGCCCTCATAAATTTGTTCACCTTTATTGAGAAAGCATGACTGTCCCACAGAGACCTTTCCATATCTGCATCAGGTTTACAACCACCATGTATTAACGGCCAATTTGTGGCTAATAGCTCTCAGATCCCTGAGTCTACCTGAATGTGAAAGGGCTGTCTTTGGGAATCTCTATGGTCTCTGGAAACACAAAGCAATATTATCTAAGCATGGTGCTTTGCATATTTACAAAGGGCTTCCAAAGTTTGTTCCAAAGTAGATACCAAGACACAACCTCCTAGAAGGGAAGGAGAGAGGGAGGGAGAGAGAAAGATGAGAGAAGGAGAGATAGAAAGGAAAAGATGCCTATAATTATGTTATTGAAGAACTGTTCTGTTTGGTATTATTTAGGGTTATTTTTATTATGATGTTGAGATGAGTTTCTTAAAGAGGAAAACTCCCAGGTTTTATGGCATCTCTTGCTAGAGAGAATCCTTGGGTGATTTGATAGCCTATTTGAACAAGAGTGATGCTTTATGGGCCCCTATAAAAACTGATGACCCCTCTCACATTTGTATTTAATGAAATCAGGAGGAGCTTTGGTTATGTTTTCAATAACCTTCAGTGCTAGCTTCAACCTACCTCTCTCATGAGCTGAAATCGGCCCGAAGCCCCCAAGTCTCAGCTGGAGAACACCCCAGACCGTTTGGCTGCTAAGAGCCATAATCAGGACTGAAGATTTTGCTGGTTGGGCTGGAATTGTGTTCTAAATTCTCTCCCACTTCTCTTATTTGGGGAGCAGTGGGGAAAGAGATGCAGAGACTGCTTGTGTGCTGGATTTATTTGCATATGTTAACACACTTTGCATATAGTTGCACATCTGCATTTTTTTCTTTAATTGAAAGGTAGCTTTTTATACATCCTTGCACACCACTTGGTTAGTTACACAAGAATCTGGCTCATGTCTGCATGCACGATACTTGATGCCGTGACAACACGTGAAGAGTGCATGAACTGACTATGTTCAAAAGTCTTGCTTTTTGAGGCAATGTGAAGGTAAGGCCTGTAGCTCAGCAGTAGAGCATCTGCTTTGCATTGAGAAGGTCCCAGGTTCAACCCCTGACCTCTCTAGGTAGGGCTGGGAGAGATTTCCTGCCTGAAACCTTGGTGAGTCTCTGCCAGTCAGTGTAGACAATACTGAGTTAGGTGGACCAATGGTTGGACTCTGTATAAGGCAGCTACCTAGGTTCCAATTAACAATGAACTCCATATTCAGAACCATGAGGACTGGAATCTTGATCTTTAGGGGAAGGAGCACAGCTGAGTGGTATAGTACATGTTCCATCTAGAGATGGAGGAGAAATTCATTCAGTTCCCATTTTAGTATGAATTTCCCAAATCCTGAATTATGCAATGCACTTGTCCAAATCAGTAATGGGTATATTGGTGGAAACCTACAGAAATGAGTTCTGTTGGGTGTGGGGGAGGAATGGTTCGCAAAACTGTTTATACTACTCCAATTTTGCTAGGGAAAAAAAACATATATAAGGAGAAATATATATGAAAATGTATATTGCAAATGCGATTAAAATAAATAAATAGGGCAAATTGCTTTTAAGATTGGAGAGTGAGAGTAACTGGAAATTGCCCAGGTTTCATCTGTCCCTAATTCTATCTGTGTCACGATGCCTTCGATGATGTCACCAGCCTTCAGTCAAACTCATGCTGGAGGTCCAGTCCATGCAAAGGCTGCTAAGGGCCTAAGCCTAACTTGCCTCTCTAAGTTCTTTGTGGGGTGTGTGGGAAAGGGAAAGCCATTTTAAGCATCACCCCTGAGCCCCCTAGGAGGAAGGGTGAGATAAAACCATCCCAATTAAAAGTAATAAAAGCAGACAGGTCTCTGCCCTGAAGAGCACACAATCAAGAAGGCCTGTGTTTGAGGAAAGATGGACTGGACTCTTGGACATAATTGGTGGCCTCCTGCAAAGTGAGGCTTAATTAAAACTTTTAAGTGACTCCACAATGTAGATTTTTTTCTTTCTCATTTTGATGGCTCCCTGTAGTCCATGAGCCTCAAGGTTGGTCTAAGGTGAAAGCGCTGAGGAGAGAAGGAGATCCAAATGCTCCACTGTGTGTGATGTGAATGAGAATGAAGAGAAGGGCATATCCCCTTCCTAGCTGTTCCACTGGCCATCCGATCTAGAGCTCAGAGTTTGCAGTGAAGAGGAAATCTGGCAGGCTTTATGAGGACACTTCCAAGCCCGTTGACCGTCATTTGCATTCTGGGCCTGCAGTAGACTCTACAGAGGCAGATGCCTTATGAATAAGCCTGAAAGCCAAGCTATAACATCCTTGTGGTGAAATGATTCAGAGTAATGTTTCGTCAAGCTGCGCTTTAATAGGCGAGAGGTCTTATTTTTATGATCATTGCAATGTAAAGGGTCACCATCTTAATGTTCTAATACTGTGTTTTAAACAACATTTACACTTTAACATATTGAAAAATCTCATCTTTTCCTGCCTGCTGGGATGACAACACAATTCAAATCCATCAGCATGGCAGTATATTCAGATGTTTTAAACATAAATCAGCCTTGATGATCCATTCCCCCCCCACCTTCTTTAGTCCATGCATTCCACTCCCCAGAAAAAAAAGAGGGGGGGAGAGAGGTAGTGGTGCCGGTGCCTGAACTCATACTGTAGAGTTCTTTAACTTGTTCATTGCTTTTTCTTTTTCTTTTTTTTAGTTCAGTGGAATATCCCACCTGAATAATTCAGAGGAGTCAAGGAGAGAGCGGAAATGGTAATGGCAGTCCAGCCGTCAACAGAGACACGATGCTTTATGACCTCTTTTAGAGTCGAGGGAAACAGATGCTGGAGTGCAGCAGAAAGTTTGCAAATTGCTTTTGCGAGTGCAGAGCGAGGGAAACCGTGCATCATATGGGGAAGTGAAGTGACATGGGGGGTGGGGGACAGGGGAACGGCGGTGGCAGGAGATGTTTGAATCCCAGTGAAATGTTGAGAGTTGGCCATGAGGAAGAAAACACGCTCAGCAGGGGGCTGTGATCCACAGCATAACTGGTGGGATGGAAGAAAGAATTCCCATTGAAATAAGCAGGACCAGAGAACTCTTTCTCCCCCAAATATGTTCTATTGGTTTTTTTAAGAACAACAAACATGGTTTCAGAGAAAAGAAATAAAGAAAAATAGTATTTTATTTTATTTATTTTTCACATAAGTTGTCACATTTGCCAGTGAAGAAGTTTAGGTTTTTAGATGCCCAACATTCCTCAACCCTGCCAGCTCAGGAAATATGGATGTCTTGATTTATCTTGGTGTGCTGCCATTCCTTATTTTCATTATTTATGCAATTTACCAAGCCAATAATAAAACGGGGGGGGGGGGAGGAAATAAAAGAGGGGGAAAGTGTGTGGTCAATGTTTACAAACAGTTCCAGGGTCTAAATCAAAACAATTACATTTTAAATTTTTTTTTCAAAAAGGAAGATAAAAAATAACCTGGGATGGTGCTAAACAATGGCAGAGGAAAGGGGGGGGGTCCAGTAGGTGCGGGCCACCCCAGGTGTCACCACTCAGGGGGGTGACAAAATGTCGGGTGGCACTAACTGCAGGATCTGCAGCACACCCGAGCCACACTGCCCAAACGGTCCGCCCACTGCCTCCCCCCCAGCTGTAGGGCGGCTGAGTGGGAGGAGGCAGGAAGACTCCGGAGGCCCCGCGGTGTGCCCCGCCCCTATGGGTGGCGCGCCCCACCCCTGGGTGCACCACCCCCAGGCGTCCGAGTGGCTTCTTCTGCCGCTGGTGCTAAATCCAGACACTTGCATAGATCTGTGGTATCTGATGCTCCCAAGCCTCAACATTTGTACATGAAATAAAATTAGACCAAATGGCAGAGAAGCGACCTCGAGCATTTCAACCCTTGGAACACTTCTAGCTTACATGAGATTTTTTCCAAGATGGGCTAATTGCTAAGTCTTGGAATAGCACTATATTATTGAGATCAAAAGTCTTATTGTGGCCCATTTTCAAAAGATGCAAAAACATTTCCTTGTTATTCAGGAATCATAGAATTGGATGAGACCGCAAGGGTCATCTAGTCCAACCCCCTGCAATGCCGGAATCTCAACATGTAGTTCCCCATCAAATCTGAAATCATATCAGACCCTGAATCAACAAACAGATTCAAAAGAGTCAGACAGACTTCATATAATTTTTGAGGATTGTAGCGTTGTGTGACAAAAAAATTCCTAGGAAAACTCATCTGGTTCTAAACATGTTAGTCACCACACAGTAACCAAAAATTCCAGGATCCTGAGAGCAAATATCACTAACACTCCTCCTTGTAAATGTATACAGAATTACATCCTTATCTGTATGTGTCCTGGAGCTATAAATGATGGCCACAATCTAACACTGTGTTAAGCATGAATTGGAATATGATATGGATGGTAAACAGGTAGTTACAAGTTTAAATCGCCCTCCCAATTTAAAAGAAAGAAAAGCTTTTCTATACATAGAAAATTAGGGCACTGAGGAAGGTTTGAACTTAGATGCATCACTGGTTATGCTAGTTTTCTACACACACACACACGCAATAGTCAACATGTAAGCTCAATAGGTAAGTAAGTACGGTAAGTAAGTAATCAATTCTGCACCTTGAAGTGGTACAGTTCAAACAGGGCTGCACCACATCACCATCCTGTATGTGTAGACTAACATGGCTCCTTTCAGTGGTGGCTGGTGTGCATTGGGACTGGTGGGGCAGAAAGCAGGGAGACCAACAATAGGTGGCACCAGAGCCAAGGAGAGGCAGAGACAACAAATTCCAGTATTGTCTCCATCTTCTTCCTCCCTGCTGAGTTATACAAGGCCAACACTGTGCCTAAGGAGGAGCAGAAGCACACAGTTAGTGCCACTCCCTGGACTGGTTGTAAGTAAGAAGGCAGGAAGGCAGGGGCCAGCAGAGGGCAGACTGAGGTTGGTGGGGCAGGGCCCCTTTGGGTCTAATGGAAGAGCCTCCACTGGTTCCCTTTAAAAAAGAAAAGAAAAAAAGCAATCCATACGTTTCTACACTGAAAGGTAAGCAGACAAGGATTGGGAACACAAGGCTGCTGAACATATCCATCCCTCGAGTCTTAAAGGTTATAACACCAGCTGTTTTCCTCATGAGTCTCCATTGTTTAAAAAATGACATGAGCAGAGATGAATGTACCATTCAGGCTGCTTGTTATCGGTGAAATAAAACTGTAATCTCCAGATCTCTCTCTCTCTCTCTCTCTCTCTCTCTCTCTCTCTCTCCAACCCTATAGGACATCATTGTGCCATCTTTTATGGCAATCATGTTTATTGTATTTCAGCCTCTCTGTTTCGTTGCCATTTCTGTCCAGTCCATGTTCCATGTGTCTCCCCCACTCCTTTATGATTCTTGGCCCATTTGGCAACATTAAATTTTATTTGCCATATGCCACCTCTGCTATGAGGAAGATAAAATCTTGGTTGGGGTAGTGTTTGCTGCTGTCACTGCAACCTTGCTTACAGCTCCCCTCCATTTAAATAGCCTCTGTTGATGGGCCTTAATTTTGCATTTATTTACTTTAATAACTCAAGAAACAGCCTTTCACCGAGTCAGACCACTGGGGTCCATCCAACTCAGATTATGCAGATTATACCAAGGATGGGGGTGGGGGCTGATGGCCCTCCAGGTGTAAAAGAACACAAGAGGAGCTGCTGGATGAAGCCCATGGCCAGCACCCTGTTCTCACAGATGTCAACCAGATGTCTATAGGAAGCCTCAGAACAGGACCTGAGCACCAGGGCACTTCCCCGACTTGTGATCCTCAGCAACTGGTATTAACATAGTTGCCAACCAGTGGAAAACCCTCAAGCAGCACAAGAGCATTCTTCTATAAGGGAAATTATGGTTTCCAGCAACTGGTATTTAGAAGCAGTATTGCCTCTGACACAGTGCATAGCCAGTGTGGCTAGCAGCCACTGATAACTGTTGAACTCCAACTCCCATCAGCCCCAGTCAGCATGGCCAATGGGCAGGCAAGATGGGAGTTGTAGTCCAACAACATCAGAAGGGCCACTGATCCTCATCCTTGGCCTACACTGATTGGTTGCAATCATTTTTGGTGGTTTCTGATAGGATTCTTTTCCAGCTCTATCAGTAGATGTTAGGGACTGGATCTGTTTTTACACAACCCGTGGTTTACCACTGAGTTAAAGTATTTCCCCATTAAATCTTAAACATTTCTTTTTTTTTGATGGACTATATGGAACTGGCGGAAATGAGTGGCAGAATCCGAGACCAAGGAGAAGAGTCGGTGGAAGAAGATTGGAAGAAATTTAAAGTTTATTTACAGAAACATTGTAAAATTAAGGAATGTTAGATGGATGTTGGAATGAAGTAATGTGGTTTTAGCAGGAATGCTATAGAGGATTAAGAAAAACAGATTCTTAAATGGTGAAAGGAGGGAAAGTAAAGTTACATTATATTAAGATAAAATATAGGACAAAAACTGGAAAAGATGGAAAGGATTTGCTGAAATAGCTAACTGAACTAGAATACAAAAAAGGGAGGTGTGAGGAGGTCAAGGAAATAAGTAAATGAAAGATAAGTTATGGGAAGATTCATTGCATTTTTTATTTTTTTTATTTTTTTTTCTTCTTTTCTGTATTGTGATGTGATGTTCTGTTTTTGCTTAATATGCTGTTTTTTATTTTTCCTTTTTCCTTTTTGTAACCTTTCAAATCTTAATAAATATTATTTTTTTTAAAAAAAAATCTTAAACATTTCTATGTCACCTTTGAGGTGGCTTGCAAGATCAAGGCAAAACTAAAAGTGATAATTAATGAGGTTAAGAGAACATTCCTAGACCCCGTCTGCACTATGCATTTAAACCACTATCATGCCATTTCAAACAGTCATGGATTCCCCAAAGGATCCACAGAATGGTATTTTGTTTTGGGTGCTGGAAGGTTTTAGGAGACCCTTCTTTATCTCACCAAATATAGAAGTGCCATTTTATTTCTGGGTGACTAAGTTTGTGAATCTGTAATGATTTCCCCTAATTTATTTGATATTTAAAATGATCTACTATATATTTTGAAAAGTGGTCTGTCAGTTTTTCCATCTGTCTGCCTGCTGCCCTCTATAGGTTTGAGTGACTCCAGAGATGTCACTCAGCATGATGGTTCCCAAGGGTGAGAGGAAGCAGTCTTCATCTGTGTTTAAAAAGAAAGAAAGATGGACGACAAAAAAATGAGTTTGGTGTGACTTTGTCCATTTTTTGGCATGGTGAGTCCAAACTGCACTGATGTGGATACCTTCAAAGATATCATCATCTAGTTTGGCATGACTTCACCCAATTGGTGTCACAGGTCCAAACTTCACTGATTTAGATTACTATGGATGTATTGTCACCTAATTTGGTGTAATAGATGCTTTCAGGCTATTTTGGGTATGTGTGTGTATGTTAAAATCTATTTTTCTTTTAAATTAAATACTTCTGTGTAACTAGTGAGCCCCCCCCCCTCCATATTTAGAAAGGCTTCTTTACTCTTGGATGTCCTCATTCTAATTCCAAACTGATCAGTGTACAACCACCCAAGTTCACTATGAAATTACCCTTGCTGGGGCTTTGATGATGCTGGTGATGCTGTAGACACAGCAATTGCTAATACAGGTAGCCAATGTGGTGCCTTCAATATGTTGTTGAACTGTAACTCCCACTATCCCTAGGCATTGGCCATGTGGGCTAGGGCTGCCTTCTGATGTCTTCTAAAAGTCTGGTAGTTGTTTTTCTCTTTGACATCTGGTGGGAGGGTGTTCCACAGGGCGGGTGCCACTACTGAGAAGGCCCTCTGCGTGGTTCCCTGTAACTTGGCTTCTCGCAGTGAGGGAACTGCCAGAAGGCCCTCGGCACTGGACCTCAGTGTCTGGGCAGAACGATGGAGGTGGAGACGCTCCTTCAGGTATACTGGACCGAGGCCGTTTAGGGCTTTCAATTGAACCTTAGAAGTGTTCATTAAACTGCTTTGGGGCTGAGATACAGTACCTCTGGCTTTGTGGTGGCCCAGCATGTCCCAGTTGCAAGGA